GCTCCACTCCTGAGCCTTGACCCTTCTGAACTTCCTTGCTCCTGGAGGACAGAGTCCATTCCCATGGGCACCTGGCCCACAGCAGACTCTCATTTTCTTGACCACAGTTCATCGCTTGGGTTGATTTTTAGAAATAGCAGTTTCCGCCGGCGCCGCGGCTCACTAGGCTAATCCTCTGCCTAGCGGCGCCGGCACACCGGGTTCTAGTCCCGGTTGGGGCACCGGATTCTGTCCCGGTTGCCCCTCTTCCAGGCCAGCTCTCTGCTGTGGCCAGGGAGTGCAGTGGAGGATGGCCCAGGTGCTTGGGCCCTGCACCCCATGGGAGACCAGGAAAAGCACCTGGTTCCTGGCTCCTGCCATCGGATCAGCGCGGTGCGCCGGCCGCAGCGCGCCGGCCGCGGTGGCCATTGGAGGGTGAACCAACGGCAAAGGAAGACCTTTCTCTCTGTCTCTCTCTCTCACTGTCCACTCTGCCTGTCAAAAAATTAAAAAAAAAAAAAAAAAAAAAGAAATAGCAGTTTCCCTGACTCTAAAGTCCAAGCTACCCATTCTAGCACCTGAGGCTTTCTGCTCCTCATTCACAGTCCTGTGGGCCTGGACGTCCCTCATTCTCATCTAATCAAGCCTTCAGTTTCCCACAAGGCCTGTTTAGGAGTCTCTTCTTTCAGGAAGACCTCATGGTTTGCATAATGCTTTTTCTTTCCAATTTCCCCTTACTCTGAATCATAGATACAGTATGGCTATTCATGGGGTTCGTAAACAGATGCCATAATATGCCCGTAAATACAGCCATAGCCACAGATTCAAGTATGTATATAAATGTACACATATATACATATATACACATATGTAAAAATGTGTATGCAGTACATACAGTACATGTACCTGGACATATAGGATACATATAAGAAACTTCAAAAATTGATGGAAAATGGAGTTAAAAAGTAAGTTTATTTTGGTGTGAAAAATGTGAAATACATGCATAGTTCTTTTCTTGGTATCCATTTCCATAAACTTTTTGAAGATCCCTTGCATGTATACATACACTGTTTCTAATGTCATTAAAAATTAGTTAACAATTATGACACACATAGAATATTTTTCAAACCATTACTCTATTTTAATTATGGGTGGGGCAGAGAGAGAATTCCCATCTACTGGTTTACTTCCCAGTGGCTATAAGAACCCAGACTGGGTCAGGGCTGAAGCTGGGAACCCAAACCAGTTCTCCCACATCGGTGTCATGAATCCAACAACTTGAGCATCACCACTGCCTCCCAGGGTCTGCATGAGCAGAAAGCTGGAGTCAGGAGCCAGAGTTGGGAGCTGAGCCTAAGCACTCTGATGTGTGTCTTAACCACTGAGCTACATGCCCACTCAGAACCCTAGTGTTTGTTGGACAGGCTGCGTTCAGTTCTTCGCTGAGAAATGTTATCTGGCCCACTTAGTAGGCAGCACAGCAAGGACGGACTCTGCACCTGTTTTTGTTTGACTCTCATCCCGAACACTTACTGATGACCTTGGATAAGCCATTTCACCTTCCTCTACCTATAAAACAAGGATTACAATGGTATCTATATCATAGGTTATCAAGGCATGGAAAATGCTTCTGTAGGGCTTGTGACAGAGTCAGTGAAAACTTGGTACCAATTTCAGAGGTGGAAGGTGAAGATTTGCTGTGGCTTCCCCTCTACCAGTGTGACCTAGCATGTCATGGTTTCCCAGCATGTGACAAAAACCCAGAGAGGCAGCCCTTTACAACTCTTAAATGCTGTCAAATTTAAGACTGGATTATTGCTGTTGCTTTTTGCCTCTATTTTCTACATGTTTCAGGAATATGTAACTTAAATTATCCAAGCATATAGCATTTCGAAGGCATCTTAAAAACTGTTTTTGCTATTTTACAATTATGGTGAGAATGATTTCTGCCTGTTATAAACAGTTTAGAGGACACCAAGAAAGCACAAGAGAAAGTAAAACTCACTCCTCAGACCTCCAGTCAGGACTAACCATGGTTGACATGTTGGTCACGGCCTTTACTTGCTACCCCTGTGGTGCCCAGGGCAGGGCACGGCAGGCTTCAGCTGTTGAATAAATGTCTGTTGACCTCAATGGGATTGACTCATTAACAAGGGCACGTGCTTATTCTGTCCCTCTTGGCCAACCTCTGACAGTTTCATTAACCCCATTAAATCATGCAGGTGCCTTTCCACCTCCTGGGTTTGTTAATCCCCATTCAGCTCCGGTAAGTTAAAACCTGGATGTATCTTATTAACCTCCATTAAACCCTATTAAATTTCTTAACTAGAGTCTTAGTGACTTCTTGGAATCTCTCATTAAAGTTTAGTCAATCCAGTTGATCAGGACAAGGTAACTGTTGTGGCTGCACAGCTTCAAAGCTTGGCATTCTGAGTTCTCTGATGGCAGGACTGACAACAGTGTCCCCAGGGCTGGATAAAGGTTGGATTTGGGCCCAGAAGTGCCTCTAGCTGTTACTTCAGCAAGTTCCTCACCCTCTCCCAGTCTGTATTTATACCTCTATAAATTGGAGTTAATAACAGTTCCTATTTTATATGATTGAGATTAAGTGAAATAATGCACATAAAACTATTAGCACATTGTCTGGTGTACACTCTGTACTTGATAGCTACTATTATTCCTGGATGTGGAAAAGCCTTATAAACTAAGTTTCATAAGTGAAAGCTTCAGGTGCAGGCATTTATAGTGTCCTACATACCAGGCATTGTGTTAGAATCTGTGGGCTGGTCTCATTCTGATTCTGTCCACTGAAGACCACCCATTTGAATGATGTGTCTTAACGGTGTCTTTGTGGCTGCCATGTCACTCTATGTGCTCAGGCTCTGACACTTCTGAGCTGTCTTGATGTTGAATGTGGCTGCTTTTCTGACCTGAATCTTAGGGGGCTGGACCCAGTGGTTCTCAAACCCAGATGTGCAAGAGAACTCCAGGGGGTTTTGTAAAAATATAGTTTCCTGTGGCCCTAACTGGAGACTTTGATTTATGTAGATCTCACTGGCTGGTAACTTTTACCTAGTATTCCAGTGAGTGAGGCTGAAGCTGCTCACCTCACCACTAGGCCTGGGCAACCTCAAGACCAGAAAAGTGCTTCTCTACTTTACTAAGCTTAAGTCTTACCCGGGGAAATTTATTTTTATTCATTTTTTAAAAGGATTTTGCTTAAAGTTTTTGTGGAGTTATAGTGTGGGTGGGTTGGGGAATCTTCCATTCACTGTTTCAATTCCCAAATGGCCATAATGGCTTAGGTTGGGCCAGGCTGAAGTCAGGACCTTAGAACTCTATCCAGATCTCCCTCATGAGTGGCAAGAGTTGAAGTACTTGCCCATCTTCTGCTATTTTTCCAGGTGCATTAGTAGGGAGCTGGATCAAAAGCAAAGTAACTGGGACATAAACTGGTGCTTTGATATGGGATGCTGGCATAGCAAGCAGTAACCTGCTGTGCCACAATGGCCTGGGAAATTTATTCTAATTTAAAATTATTTGAAAAGTAGAAAGGATAGAGACTAATGGAAAATGAGGGCTCGCATCTGCATCTACTGGCTCACTCCCCAAATATCTGCAATGGCTTGGGCTTGGCAGAGCTGAAGCCAGAGCTGGGAGCTTGATGTAGGTCTACTACATAGGGTGGCAGAGACCCAAGTACTGCCTCCCAGGGTGTACAGCAGGCAGTCAGTCAGTTTGGGAAAAGCTTGGGAACAAAGCACCTTGTTGCAGTTCAGTGTGTGAGGGGACAGAAGACAGCAGGCAGCCTCAGTGGTTGAATATGAAGTACGGAGGGAAGCAGAGGAGTAGAAACAACTACTTACGCTAAGCCTCAAATGGAGACCACATGGTAGGAAAACTGGAATTTCCTTTGCTGTCAGAAGATCAACTCTGGGGTCCTGTAAACAACGGAGCCCTTTAGCAACAATCCACCTGATCCTGGGGGCTCCTGGCAAGAGCCAGAACTCCCCACCCACCATGTCCCCGTTAACACCTCATGGGGCATCACTCTCCATGACGTTCACAGGGAAGTGGAATTAGAAGATGATGAAGACTGTGAGAGGATCTGGACTTTTAAAATTTGTGGTTTAAAACTTAAGAGCTAGGATACATTACTTCTATTTAACTAGTACAATAAAGAAAACCATTCCATTTCTTTTCCCTCTGCTGAGGACAGAGGTCTAGTCAAACAGCACTAACGAGGAATTTGAAGCGAGTCCTGGGTTTGAGGCTGGGCAAAGGGATTCATTCCACAAGGCCCTGGACCTCATCAGAAAAGCTCAGTCAACAGTCCAGACTTCTCAAACCACAGTGTGCAAGGGACTGTTTCCCTGGGTCCTTGTTAACAATGCAGCCTCTTCTTCAGGGCATGGCTGGCAGAGGAAGGAAGAGACATTCTGCATTTCTTCCAAGTGCTTAGGTAATACAGCAACTTTAAATGGCTACAGCCTATATGCCATTAAAATTGAGTTTGGGGGACATTTACATAAATGTCTGGGCTTCCAGTTCCTGTAGTTAAATTACAAAACTTTATCACACATGGCAACAATCCGTAGGAGATGAACAGTGGCTGCCTGTGAAGGGATGTGTTTGCCAAGGTGTAGATGCCCCTTGCAGGCATTTTAATTTGCAATCCTTTTACTTGGCTCAAGACTCTCACATCATGGACAGACAGGGGAAGACCCAGAGAGTAAACTCTGTTGCCCTTGATATCTCATATGTGACACAGAAGTCAAGCTTCAGATTCAAGCTGTTTGGGCCTGGCCAGCCTCTTTCTAGGAAAGTAACTGGGAGAGGGAGACCAGAATGTGGGTACAACCACCTGTGATCTGAACAAACTGTGTGTGCTCTAGGGGTGAGGGGGAAATGTAGGTGCTGGAAGCAAAGACTGCGGACATCAATCACTGTAATACACAAAGGCCCAAATGTGGAAGTGAAAGCACCTCAATTCTGAGTAGAAATTCAAAGGACACAGAGTGTCTCTTACTCATTCAGATCATTTATTAAGAGCGAAAAGTCGGGCCATCTCATCTCTGTGATACTGCAACATGAAAAGTCACATACATACTAAAGACCTCATAGAATTGAGAGCCTTTCAAACAGTACAGAGCCATATATTATAAAATTAAAACACAAACGATCCCCCAAATTTGGCAGGAAACAAGTACAATATGAGGAGGCCTGGAATGGAAGGGCACTTACTTTTCAATAAGGCAGTTACAAAATGGAGAAAGGAAAGATCCATACCCCAAAATACTCTGATGAGCATAGGACGACAGTGATGTTGAACAGGGATCCTGTGCAACCCTGTGTTGCTGGCAAATGTATTCAGCAGATGAAAGCAACTGAAGGGTTTCTGTGACAAGACACAAGCTTGATGCAACAACTGAGTGCAGACATTTCTGCCTCAAGAGGTCCCACTTTGCCTCAGGCAGGATTCAACCACTAACAGCAATCTACTTTATCCTTCCTAACAATAAATGTGGGAACAGTCTATAATAATGAAAGGAATAGGCAGCACCCTAAAGCACCATGCTTCCCAGGGCATGATCTTGAGTTCACCTGTTATTGAACTGCCTAGCTCAGCAGGAGGGCCAGGGCCAGGGCCAGGGCCAGCTGAATCAGACACTCTCCAAGGACTGCCTGGGAGGTGGAAGTTTGACCCATCACACCCCAAGCCCATTTCATGAGAATTAAGATTCTATGACAACAAGACACCTTCCACTAGAACTTCTGATCCTGGGTCTTCTATTATAGGATAGATCTGTTTTCCCTTTTTACTAGTTTTGCAAAACTCAGCTGGTCCAATCATTTCACTTGCCCTTAAGTTCTGCAGGTCAGTTCATAGTCCCTGAGAGCCAGGGTGGCCTTGGCAACTTCTGCTCAGTTACAGATTCTCTAGAATCTGAGGACAGCTTACTTTTTCAACTGAACTGATCTTTCCATGAGTCAGAAAGTGAGCAGAATGCTGGACAGGTCACAAGGACTACAGGTTAGTCTGATAATGCCATGTAAACTCAAGCAAATCTTGTATTGAATTTCAGCTTTATCTTTAAAAATTTATTGGACAATTCAACTTTACAAGACTTTCAGTATGGCACTTCTCTGATACGGAATCATGGCTCCCCACCCCCATGTTCTTAGCCTTTGTCTTCTCAGTGAAAACAGTGTATGAAGTTGCTATGGGAATCACAAGGAACACACTGTTGGCAACCATGGAATCTTTAAACTCCATGGGAAGCAATGACATTATTTTACAATGTCCTAGGTCAGGTTTTGCCTAAGCAATGTGGTGAGCATTAGTTTTTGTGGGGCAAGCACACAAATAAGGCCTCATCTGTCTTAGGTGATTTTTTTGTTTTGTTTTTTTAAAGCAAGCTGTTAACATCCCCTCTACTTCCTGCCACATGCCACCACTTTGGCAAGAACAAAGGAGAATAACCAGGCTGATGGGGTTTCCTCCACATTCTCCAACAAGGAACTAAGTGGACACAGGGCAAAGGACAGTTAGGACATGAGAATGTCTATGTCCTAGTTGCTCCATTCAAAAACACACTATGCCCTTGGATAGTGCAATTAGGGACTTTGCCAAGATGAATAACTTGTTCCACATGGGTCCCATGGGGCCGATGGAAATGACAGAGAACACAGAAAAGCCAGAGGTTTACAAGGATAGAACAAGTTCCCCCAGGAGGTAGTGAGTTCTCTGTCCTCAGAGGTGTTTAAGTCCAGACTGCTCAACCCCTTGTTGGGATGGTTGTAAGCAGAATGTCAGCACCTATGGGGAGACTAGGCCAGGCAATTTAAGGTCTTTCCACAATTTTGGTGTCTTATCCTTGTAATGACAGTCTTCAGGTGATTTCCATGGACCAATTCCCCTTGGACCCACACCCAGGACAGCCTACTCAACAAGCAAGGCCCTGAGAGTAAGTTCCCATCCCCATCCTCCCCCTCCCACCAGGCAGATGTTCTGCAGGACACCAACAAAAAGTTCCCACAAAATAAATAGCGCAAATGCCAAGGTTAGATTCAACATTCCAGCTGCAAACATTAGTATCTGTTCAAGAGGCTCATAGTAACTATTTAGCTACAAGAGGAACATCTAATAACTCAGCAGCTGTAACACATAAGTGAAATTCCTCTTCAGTTTACAACACTGGTCTTGAATCCTTTGGTTTTTCAATCTTTCATGAGATTCAGCTTTGATCATTATTACATGTTTTCGCCAATCTAAGAGTTTGTTCTTCAAATAAGAAATTTGTCCATTTGTTTTTTAAAAACAAAGTGAAACAACATGAATGGCAGGACATTGATGTTTCCTTGTGATGACCTTCAGGGCACATCAAAGAACCATGCCACGCTGGAATTGAGAGGCAGGGCCCATACTTGTTAAGACAATGCCAGTTCTGGATTTCAAATTCCAGTTTTGCCCAGGAGCACCAAGAGGAAAGAAGGTAATGCTGCAACATCACAGGTGGAGAGAAGCGCACGAGTCTGACTGGTGGTATAAGAATGCAGGCAGCCAAGGCGAACACTGCTTTCCCCAACCCCACTGCTCTCTACAGCCAGATTCTGTTGTTTTGGAGGGCCTGGCTGTTGCTCATAGGCAGAAGTCTTCTGCCCACAGATGAAGCTGTCAGAAACTGCGGAAGAGGCTAAGGCAAGTGGTTTAGTGGTTTCATGAAAGAACAGACTTTTGGACATGAATAAACGTTAAGTTCAAATAGCTTTGTCTTTTCTCTCAATTGACCTGTTTTTAAAAGGTTGAAGATGCCTACAACTTCCAGTTTCCAAAAGCACTTTTCAAGACAACATGAGACTCAAGTGCGCACAGCCTCTGGCTGAAGGTCACAAGTCGCCCAGGCTTCCGTTTGGAATAAAAGCAGTCTTACATACACATTTCAACATGTGAATCCTGATACCACATCTTCTTGGACGAGAATGCACTGCTGTTTCTCTCCACTGGGAAAACAGATTTGCTGTTAAAGGAGCTGTGACATGACTACATACTCACAATTTTGGTTTAAATATCAGAAAAATATACTTTCTTCCTCAAAAAGAAACATTTCCAGAGAGAACATTAACGATGCCTTAACCTGCAGGCTCCATCTGCCAAACTCCAGCCCCCGATGAGGCTTCTTGATGTCTCTATCAATATCCTTCAGCTGTAAGTAAGGAGACAATCACTAAATATACACTGGATCTGAATGAGAATACTCAAGAGTACCTTGACATGCCAGACACAGCCAAGTGTATCAAAACAGGATCCCTTCAGAGTTCAGAGCAATGTCTATGTACATTCATTTACACACATGTAAAAAAGGCTGCAATCTGCCAGACATGCACTTTGAACACTGGTGACAGCGTTGCTGCAATGAAACACACTGCATGTTAGTGACAGGGGTGGCTCTGTCCCCATTCCACAGAGAGCATGGTACTCTGCTCACAGAACTGAAATCTTCAGACACTGCCACCCTGCTCAGTTGGGGTTTTGTTTTGACTTCTTGCCTATGGTGCTCAGATTAAGCCATTTATGAGACATGGAAACTCTGCCAGCCAGGCTGTGCATTGCTCCTTTTATTATTTAAGGCTTAAAAAACAACTAAGAATTGAAACTGAGAAGCAAAATGACACCTTTGACCATCATATGTCATCATATGTATCAAGATTGGTCAGATACTAGAATCCAAATTTTTTTCTCTCAGCCTTCTACCCCCAACACAATGATCATATAGAGAATTTTGCAAAAGCATATTTTTGGATATAAAGCTTTGTTTTCCCAGGATACTTTGGTTCTGATAAAATTAGCTAGAAGAATGACTTACTGACAAAAACAAAAATCAGGCCATTATTAATACTTTAAAAATTATTTTAAGCAATCTTTCTCCCTAACAGGGAAGCAAATTGCTCACAAAAATGAGCATCAGATAGCACTAACCTTGGTTGCTCAAATTCATGATGTGCTGTCTACCAGACAGAGCCCAGGGACTTAAGGACAGCCGTACTTTCTACCCAACAGCTGAGCTTCTGAGCAGGAGTCATATGGTCCTTGGCAGCTTTCCTGGTGGTCATGAACTGAGGATTAATACTTCTGAAAACATTAGCCCCAAACCAAAATTGCTCAGTTTGTCAAAGCATTTATTGCCCAGGATCTTGGCTCAAGTCTTAATAACTTCATCCCAAAAGTGAAGCACAGAGGGGTGTGCAAAGTACCACGTCTCCTGTGAGAAACATTTCTCAGTGTTTCTGAAGCCTTGACAAACCGGGGCATGCAACTGCCCTGAAATACTCTTTTGATCTCAAACTTCCTTGTCCTTGCATCAGGAGTCCCTCCATACTTTAGCAGTTAAGTGCTGAACAACAAAAGTAGCACAGGTCTCTGTTACAAGAGCAAGGAAGCAGATGTTACAGGGCTGGCACTGCTTTGACAGCTTAGACAACTCAATGCCCCCTGTGGACAAGGGCAAGTGAAGAGACCAATGTCAAATTGATAATGACAAAAAAATCCGCAACAAAGCAGGCCATCTACATACCCAGTGGTCAGTGTGCAAGTCCATCAGCTATACCCTATCCTTATTCCAGGGCTATGTCCCAAAGGTGGCAGCCTGGTATTGCAAGGTGACTACCAAACTATTTCTTATCCCACATTTTTCAGCAGAATAGACTTAACACTTTATTGAATTCTGCAATACATAGTTTTCCTTTAATTCTTTTTATGATCCTGTTTGTTTCAGTCCAGTAGTTATCTTAAAAGTCTGTCTATACACATGCTGAGTCATGAGAATATAATCCTCTTGACCAAAAAGATTTACAGTATCATCATTCAAACTTTTATTTACAGTAAAACTGAACAGTCTTTAAATGTAGCAGATATCACCTGTGCATTAGGCATTATGCTTTGTTCCTTTAAGATGAGCTTTGTCTTCACTCAAGCTGCTTGCTGCCCTCTGATTTCTGGTCCAGTCTACTCTTGTTACTCTTCACCATGTAGATGAAGTAGGCGAGGGTCTCTTTTTCATTCACAGGTATGTTCCTGAAGTGTCGGCTGACAGTCTATGTGGAAGAGAAACCAAAATCCCTTAAACCTGTACAATTCAGGGTGACAAATTCAAAACTGTGCAAAAGAGGGGACAAGGACTCGCTTGCAGTGCTGTGGTGGAAATTACAGCTACTGCAGAAGTTCTTGTAACAATGTACAATGGTGACTTGTTTTCCAGAATTCCAGAAGTAGAACTTTAACCTACCAAGGTACAGTTCTATTTTAGTGGCAGCCAATCATCCATCATGATCATTACATTCCATGAAGAGACCAACTGCTCTGCTTAGTCAGCTGCTACCAAACCTGTCAGGCCCTGGCATGGGTGGAAACATATTTTATAAAAAGTTGTGTTAGGGGGCTGGCATTGTGGCATAACAGGTTAAGCCGTGGCCTGCAATGCCAGCATCGTATATGGGTACTGGTTCAAGTCCTGGCTTCTCCAATTCTGATCCAGCTCCCTGCTAATGTGCATCCGAAAGCAACAGACAATGGCCCAAGTCCTTGGGCTCCTACACCCATGTAGGAGACCAGGAAGAAGCTCCTGGCTCCTGCCTGGACAGCCTTGGCTGTTGTAGCCAATTGGTGAGTGAGCCAGCAGATGGAAGATCTGTCTCTTCTCTATTTCTCATTTTCTGTATAACTCTGCCTTTCAAATAAATTATATCTTTAAAAAAATAGAAATTGTGTCAGATGAATATTCAACTGAACTCGTGTTTGAACCCAAGAATCTCTCTCCTAAGTACTTAACTTTCTCTTTAAAAAAAAAAAAAAAACAAAAAACACAATTATTTATTTATTTATTTGAAAGGTAGAGTTATAGAGAGGCAAAGAGAGAGATAGAGAAAGGTCTTCAATCCACTGGTTCACTCCCCAGATGGCTCCAACGGCCGGAGCTGTGCCGATCCGAAGCCAGGAGGTTCCTCTGGGTCTCCCACACAGGTACAGGAGCCCAAGGATCTGGGCCATCTTCTACTGCTTTCCCAGGCCATAGCAGAGAGCTGGATTGAAAGTGGAGCAGCCAGGACTTGAACCAGCACTCATATGGGATGCCGGCCCTGCAGACTAGGGCTTTAATCTGCTGCACCACAGCACCGGCCCCTATAACCTTCTCTAAAAGACACAATAGATTTGAAGGAAAAGTCATCATTTACTATAGTCCTGATGCTGGGCTTTATTAGCTAAGTTTTGAGAACACAGGTCTACTCTTGCCTCACCTCATCTTGCCTGCCATGTATCTGAGCAGTGCTTGGGTCCCTGCTACTCAAATGGGAGATTCAGATAGAGTTTGAGGCTCCTGGTTTCAACCTGGCTCATCCTTGGCTGTTGCAGGCATTTGGACAGTAAGTCAGCAGTCTTAAGATCTCTCTCGGGGCCGGCACTGTGGTATAGCAGGTAAAGCCTCCACCTGCGGTGCCGGCATCCCATATAGTGCTGGTTTGCGTCCCAGCTGCTCCACTTCCAATCCAGTTCTCTGCTAAGCAGAGAAAAAAAAAAAAAGCAGTGGAAGATGGTCCAAGTCCTTGGGCACCCACGTGGGAGACCCAGAAGGAGCTCCTGTCTTCAGATCAGCACAGCTCTGGCCACTGTGGCCAACTGGGGAGTGAACCAACAGACGGAAGACCTTTCTCTCTCTGCCTCTCTGTGTAACTCTGACTTTCAAATAAATAAATCTTTAAAAAAAAAACTCTTTCGAATAAATAAAAATGAATAACAAAAAAAAGAAAAAAGTCCAATAGAGCATCTGGCTTAGCAGTTAAGATGCCTACATCAGGGGCAAGCATTGTGATGTATTGGGTTGGGTCACTGGCATCCCATATGGGCACCAGTTTGAGTCCCAGCTGCTCCACTTAACAATCCAGCTCCCTGCTAATGGCCTGGGAAAAGCAGTGGAATACGCCCAAGTGTTTGGGCACCTGCCAACCACATGGCAGACTCGGATGAAGCTCCTGGCTTTGGCCCAACCCTGCCCAATCTCTCTTTCTGTAACTCTGACTGTACAAACAATAAATCTTAAAAAAAAAGTCCCACCCTGTATTACACCCTGGGTTCGATTTATGGCTCTTAGCTTCCTGCTAATGCAGACGCTGGGGGACAGCAAGAGACGGCTCACAAAGCAGGGTTACTGCCGATCCCATGAGAGACCTGGACTGAGTTCTCGGCTTCTGGATCTGGCCCAGATCTGGCTGTTGTGGGTATCTGAGGAGTGAACCAGAGGATGGGAACTGTTTCTGCATCAAATGATAATCAAAAGGTCCAGTAGAACATTATTTGTATTAGACTGATTTTGAGATTGAAGAATTCCATCTGCTAGTTCACTCCCCAAATGTCTGTAATAGCAAGGGCTGAACCAGGTGGAATCCAGGACTCCATTCAGGTCCCCCACAATGGTGGCAGGAACCCAATGCTTCAGATATCACCTGTTGCCTCCTAGGATGTTTATTAGCAGGAAACTGGATTAGATGCACAGCCAGGACTGACACTCAAGGGCTCCAATGTGGCATGTGGGTAGCCTAAGCAGCAACTTAATTGCTGGGTCAAATGCCTAACCCTGCTATGTGATTTTATTTTTTTATTTTTTTTTTTATTTATTTTTTTATTTATTTTTTTTTTTGACAGGCAGAGTGGACAGTGAGAGAGAGAGACAGAGAGAAAGGTCTTCCTTTGCCGTTGGTTCACCCTCCAATGGCCGCCGCGGCCAGCACCGCGCTGATCCGATGGCAGGAGCCAGGAGCCAGGTACTTATCCTGGTCTCCCATGGGGTGCAGGGCCCAAGCACCTGGGCCATCCTCCACTGCACTCCCTGGCCACAGCAGAGGGCTGGCCTGGAAGAGGGGCAACCGGGACAGAATCCGGCGCCCCAACCGGGACTAGAACCCGGTGTGCCGGTGCCGCTAGGCGGAGGATTAGCCTAGTGAGCCGCGGCGCCGGCCCTGCTATGTGATTTTAAGCAACTCTATTCCTCTCCCTGTGTCATGCTTTCTTTTTTAGAAATTGGGCTTTTTTTTTTTTTTTGACAGGCAGAGTTAGTGAGAGAGAGAGAGAAACAGAGAGAAAGGTCTTTCTTTCCGTTGGTTCACCCCCCCAGATGGTTGCTACGGCTGGGGCGCTGTGCCGATCCCAAGCCAGGAGCCAGGGGCTTCCTCCTGGTCTCCCATGTGGGTGCAGGGACCCAAGCACTTGGGCCATCCTCCACTGCCTTCCCGGGCCACAGCAGAGAGCTGGACTGGAAGAGGAGCAACTGGGACAGAATCTGGCACCCCAACCGGGACTAGAACCTGGGGTGCAGGCGCCGCAGGCGGAGGATTAGCCAAGTGAGCCGTGGCACTGGCCCGAAATCAGGCCTTAAGTCTAAAATTTTGAAGTTCTAGTATATGCACCAGAGGGAATAGAAAGTTGTTTCTAGAGCTATGGAAAACATAATGAAGACATACACACTGAAGTAAAAGAGAATTAGTGTGACCATTAGAACAGCAGTGCTGGCTTTCTTTTTAGGGGGTAATTTTGTCACCTACTTCTGCTAACTGGGCCTTATTGAAGCCTGGTCTGGTCTGCAGCTTGTAGTGTCGCTTATAACGTCGCAGAGTGTTCACCTGCAGCTGGAACAGATCAACCTAGAGAAGAGAGCAGCAACATGTTAACTATCACATGACCACCCAGGGGTCACTGAGAGCCCAATACATGCCTTGCACTAAGGATGGGGGCAGGACGCTACAAAGGAAGTCTTAGAAATGGTCCACTGAGGACCAGTAACTGGCTGGGAAGACAAAAGTAACAGTGGAGAGAGTTCTGGCCGGGTGGGGTGATCCAGGAAGGGCAGTGGAGGAGAAGCTTAAGCTAAGGAGGGGTGAGCTCTAGAAGGACAGCGAGGAAGAGTAGGGAAGGAGGGAGATCACGTGTACAGAAAGCCAGGAAGTGAACAGATGGGCTACGGGTCACTGGCAATCACAGTGAGTTAAACAGAGACTGGCTGGTAGCAGGCCTTGAAAAGCAAGAGCTCCCAAAGGCAGTGGAAGGAGAGGTTTCAGGAAGATGATCTGGTGGAGATTCATTCACAGGGAAGACTGATTGGAAGCTAGGGAGCCACAGTGAGATGATGAGGCAGTTTTGGATGGTGATGCGAGAGGGGGACACCAAGGATGGAGAGCAAAGGCACGAACCAGAGGGCTTTAGGGGCAAGACCTGCCAGTGGGTCAAAAAGGACAGTGGGAGGCACTCTAGTAGTTGTCTTCCATTAGTTCTCGCCTAGCTGTGAGGTATCAGAATTCTTAATGACCCTCCAAGAGAAGGTGCAAAAGCTACTGCAGTGAACGTACAAACTGGCAAGTCAGGGTCGCGGTCGCTGACTGGAAAACAGAGGGCAAGGGACCACCCACCATATTTTTTCCCTAACACAGCAAGAAAAGAAAGCTACACAGTCATGAAATATCGAAGGCCCATCAAGCTGGGCTGCCTTTACCTGCCTCTAAAAGGGATGTTCTTGCTTCAGGCAGGTGGAGAGCACTTAAAAACAAAATGAACGATCAATATGACGGACAAAAGTCCTTCATTCTTTTCAAAACATTCCTTAAACCTTTTTCTGTGTGTGTGAAAAGCAGTTAGAAATTGAACACATCCATTTCTTTAAAAATAATAATACTAAACGCAACAGAATGGTGCCGTAAACTAACGCTGGAAAAGGGGACCCAGGGAGGGGCAGGGGCAGGGGCAGGGGCAAGCGCCGGAATTTTCAAAGGTTTCCTCCACATCTGCAGACAAAGGCCCGCCTACTCTTTCTATTCCTACACAGTCATTTTCACTCTGAGCGCTAACAGGCAGTTGCCTTATGAAATATTCATGCATCAAATATTCAATGTACACTATAAACGGTTCTTCTTTTGCTGAGTCTTATGTGAAAACAATTTAGAAACAAAGAAAATCCAATATCCTTTCCTGGAGCCTCATGTAACAGACACTGGCACCTTGAAGGCATCATGGTTTGAGAAGCCCAGGTCTCATGATCTAGTGCAGTGGCTTTCAACACAGGACCACTGTATCCCCTGAAAGGCATTTAGCAATGTCTGGAAAACTATTTTGATTGTCATGGCTCAAGGTATGGTATGACTGGCATCTAGTGGGTAGAATCCAGGGATCCCACTATACATCCTACAATGTATAGGACAGTCCCCCAGAATAAGAATTATCTGGTCCCACACGTCATAAGTGCCAGAGCTGAGAAACTCTGGAGCAGGATAACTGACTATGGAACAGATCCTTGGGAACCAGCCTGTACCAGGAGTCATGGAATTAGAGAGTGACAGAAAATAAGAGCTGGTAAGAACTGACGAATTTACACCTTCATCTCACAGACCACAAAACCAAGGAATAGATATCACCAAATCCTACACACTCAGTCTCTAAAGGCAAAAATAAGATTTTAAATATGTTGACATGGTGGTTGCATTTAAGCATCTTGTGAGGGCCTTCTTGAAGAAAGAAGTATGGTCTCCTGGAAAGGACACTAGAGCAGAGCTTCCCAACTCTAATCGCGGATGTGACCTGCAGTCTCTGAACCTGTAAGACGACGGGACAGTCAGACCGCTGGATTTCCATGCTTTTACGTTCTCAGATTTAATATTATGACTCTACGGTTTGCTTTCCAAATAAGCCACTGGAGAACAAAGGGAACTAAAATTACTTCTTAGCACAAACGCAGGCCAGGGATAAGTATCACATTAGAATTCATTCCTCCAGCTTTCTCGAGCTGCTATGTTTTGGCCTTTACCTCAGGAATGTCAGTGTCATGTTCAGGAGAATCTCCACCATCGTCACTTGTCTTCCTCTTCCTTTTATTTCGGACACTCTGGATGAAATTTTTGTGGAAATCACAGATATACAGGTGCCTTACCTAATAGGGAGGAAATTAAAGTCAGGGTTGCCAATTCCATAGAAACCGTAACAGGCATCTATCAAATGATGGGGCTGTTTTTCTTTGTGGGGCATTGGAGAGAGACAGAGGAGTGGGCTATACTTCCGGAAGCTCACCACTGAACTGGAAAACTAGAACACACATGGAGAAACCAAGTCACCATTGAACTGTAAAGACACTGAGCAAAGGAAAAGATCCCTGGTCAATCGGTGTGGAGGCTCCCGGCTCTGCAGGCAGAGGGGAAGGAGAATCAAGACTCAGAAGTCATCATCCAATTATGATGACAAAGGGGTGAATGAGGAGGCCCAGGGCACACAGCATCAATTGGGTGGTAGTGACTGTCTGTGTAGGGGCTCAAGAACAGTTTAGATATTCCTTTAGATAAGACAGACTCCCTCAAGGTTTTTGAAGCAAGGAGTGATGTGACATTTCCAGGTCTATAAAAGTCATGACTTTACAATGGGGCTGGAACATGCTGTCCTGGGAGAAGGGAAGCAGGCAAGATGGGCTGTGGTAACAGTCCATGGGACACCCTATTTTAACACTGAGATAGTTACTATTGCAGGATAGTTCCTTAAAATTCTTTATTAGCATGTATCACTAAAATTTTTTTTCATGTATCAGTCTAATTCTTGTATTACCTCACATATGATCTACCAGGAGAGAGAAAAATGTGGAAATTCTCACAAAGTGGAACAACATAAAAGAAGCTGGATCTTACTGCTTATTTCCTAATACATGCTGCAGATATTCTGGCAATGAGGTGGTAACATCAGCTAAGATGTGAAGAATATGTATATACGTACTATGTTTTTATTTAAAGATATAAGTACCAGGGTTGGCGGAGGAACCATTCCAAAGCCTTAAGAAACCTAATGCCTTTATAAATGACTAGGGGTTGTTGATGTTGAAACAGCTGCTACACAAATGTTCTGGAGAGATTTAGGAATTTAAGTCTATTCCTTAAATCCTTAAAGATAAAAGTAAGCTGACAGGAAATCAGCATCAATTAAGTCAGTCCTTTTTGTAAAGAAAATAATGAAAACTTCATTTAGTCAGATGAATTACCAATTCTGTGTGGTTAGATTAGTGAGCTATAAACAGTTTTTTAAGTTTACATCATGGTGGTGTTTAGTAGACAGCAGGTACTCTATAAAAGCATCCATAAGGCAATCTCCATAGGCCACATGAAGAAAGGTCACCACTTTCATGGTTATGAAATGGAATAGCTTTGCCAGATTCAACTCCATCAAAGGATCTTTTCGACATGGCACAAGCCATTATCCCAAAGAATCCGACCTAGCCGATTTACACTTCATACATTATATATATATATATGTATATATATATATGAAGGTACTTCAAAAAGTTCATGGAAATATGTTATGAGAAAACTATGTATGTGCTTCAAATCTTTTCACACCAAAATAAAGTTTTAATGCCATCTTTCCATGCAGTTTCTTTAGTGCCCATGTACTACTAGACATGATTTTCTCCTGTAAGTACACCCTGAATTCCTGATAGGAACCTGGTCCTCCACGTTAGCTAGGCTGGCATGTGAATGTTTAGAGACCAAGCCGCAACTCAAATTCAGAGTGACAAGCATGGTGGTGTAACAACAGGCAGATTAGGTGACTTCCTAAAGCTTTGGCTGGGAGACATCAGGTCTTAACATTAGAATAATGGAATCCTAGCTGGAAGAGAACTTAGCTATCACCAATGCAAACTCATTGGCCCCAATCTCAATTTCTAGAAGGGTAAACAGAAAGGACCTGACCAAGGTCACTAAAGTATTCTAACTCTGTGTACATGTACTTTCCTAGGCTACATTTTTTCCTTTATTTAATTCTCAGTTCCACTTTTCTCCAGAAAAAAGAAAAAATACATCAATTGGAGAAATGTTTTCAGGTATACTTAGTCTGAATGTCAGAACATGGCTGACAACTACATAAAATGAGTCAAACTGCCTGAGTTAGATTTTTGATGTTGTTACAAAGGTTTTCTGCTAGACTCGTCTGTTTCTCCTTAACCATTTTCAAGTACATGCCGATTTGAACAATTCAGAGCTTTTGAGGGTGGGGCCTTCCGGGTGAGAAGGAGGCAGGAGCATGGCAGCAAAGGCTCTAGTGTTGTTTTCCCCCATTTCACTTTTCAGTAACAGCGAAAAATTCTCATAACACAGCATTTACTTGGAATTGAATTCCTGCCCAAGCCTGTGAGAATGAAATAGAATCGCTTTCAGAAATAATGATTCCACAACACCATCTTGAAACCAATTGTAGTGACTCCACCTGAGAACTCTGTTCCTTCGAAGCATTACCTTCTGGGAAGGCTAGCGCTAAGCTGAGGCTTGCCTCTCTCCTGGAGGGCGCCTGTGCAATGATCAACACAGGTTTTTCCAGTGGGGTCAATAGCTTAACAGAGCCCTAGCTGCAGGAGCAAAATCAGGTGTGAAGGCATTTCTTTCTTTCTTTTTTTTTTTTTAAGGACTGGGTAATATTATTATAAGTTGCTTAGGTAAAAGCTTCTAACATCTATAGAGAAGACAGGGAGTATTTCCAAATGGATGAATTCACTGCTGTCCCACAATTAAGCATTTCACCGACACTTGACCTAATCAGGCACCACCATGGTGTCTAGTCAGTCCTTTGCTCCAAAATGAGTATCTTTCATTCATTCAGATTTGTAATAAGAAAGCCATTAACTTACCCCAGCAGCAGATGCATTATAATGACAAACATTAAATATATTAGAGGGAGGGAGGGAAAGGCCTAGAAGAAAGGATAGGGAAGACTTTTTATGAAAGACTTAACGGCTGGCACAGTGGCGTAGCAGGTAAAGCCTCTGCCTGCAGTGCCGGCATCCCATAAGGGCACTAGTTGAGTCCGGGCTGCTCCACTTCTGATCCTGCTCTCTTCTGCAGCCTTGGAAAGCAGCGGAGGATGGCCCAGGTGCTTAGGCCCCTGCACCTCTGTGGGAGACATCGAAGAAGCTCTTGGCTTCGGATTAGCCCAACTCTGGCCGTTGTGGCCATTTGGGTTGTGAACCAGCAGATGGAAGACCTCTCTCCCTTTCTCTGTTTCTGCCTCTAACTCCGTATTTCAAATAAAATAAATAAATCTTAAAAAAAAAAAAAAGACTTACTGAAGAAGTGCACATGGGGCTTGGAAGTAAACTAGATAATGTATTGAAGATACAAACCAGCCTCTGTGGTGCTCTGTGTATTTGGCACCAACCCTTCCTGTATCTGGGTTTCAGTGTCAACAATAAAATCTGAAGTGGAAAAACGGGCTTCCTCTAATTTTAACAAACCGTCTCTGATTTCCCTGAACTGTAGAGGAATTCTGGCCCCAAAAGAGAACGGATATTAACCACCTAAGCTCTTAGCTAGTCTACCTGCATGTTAAAACCCCCTTAACTCATTTCCAATTCCTAAACAAGAAGCAGCCGCAGCCACTTAAGGCTTGCAGCAACAGATGTCAAACCAAAAAGTTCTTAATTGGTTGACAATAGGCACAGCTTTAGAATTGTTAACTAGAAGTGGTGAAATCACAGAGGAAAAGTTTCCTATAATTAGGCACAAGGCAGGGCAAGCCTATTCAAATTTCAATCTCCATTTCCCACCTCCGCATTCCTAAAGGCGCTACCCCAAGGAAACCGAATCTCCCCACCTCGCCCCCTCCCCCGCCCACTCCCAGTGACTTGACTGTCAGTGCCATCTCCTAAGACCTGGTCGTGGCCTTATTCCTGCCATATCCTGGAAACACCCACTCCCAGAGTCGTAGCCTGCGAGGCGATCCTCTGCGGAAAAGGAGGCCGCGGGGGACAGGGAAGTCGCTGCTGCCACCTCTCCCAGTCTGAAGAAACAGCAGCGTTCTTAGAAGGAGCCAGAAGTTGGCCAACAGCCGGGTCCCTTCATCACCCCCTCCCCGATTCTTGCACCTTCGTGGGCCAACAAAATTAACCCACCTCCTCCTGCTCGAACATCTGAGCCAATAAAACGAGCTAGAAACTGCTGTCCAATCTTCCCCGGCAGGAGGAGTCCTCGCACCCCCCGCCCCCAACCTCCCGGATCTCAACAGAATCACAGCCAGGGCAGGTCCGCGCTTCAGCGGCCTCCGAAATCCCGCGGCCAGCTCCTCGGGCTGGCAGATGAGGGGTGGCGAGGCCGGCGGTGGGGAGCGCCCCGGGCGTCCCGGCCGCGGCCCGGGGCAGCACACAGCGAGCGGCAGGGCGCGGACTCACGCTCTTGTCGATGTCCAGCTTGAGTTTCTTCTGCGAGATGCTCTTCTGCACCCTCTTGCTGAAGGAGGCGTTGCCCGCGGGCCGGACGCAGCGCTCGCCGTCCTCGATGAGGCAGCAGCTCTGGCCGTAGCCCGGGGCGGCGGCGGCGGCGGCAGCGGCGGCGTTGGCGGCGGAGGCTGGGGGCCCTTCGCGGCTGTCCTCCTCGGTGCTGAAGCCGTTCATCTCCCCGCCCCGCGTCGGCCCCTCTGGGGGCAGGGCCCCCTGCAGGCCACTCCGCGGCCGCGCTCCCTGCGGAGCAGGTCGCCGAGACCCCCGCACCCGAGAGTCCCAGAGTCCGTCTCCAGACCAGGGGTGTCCTGCCCCGCGTCCCAGAGGCCCTGCTCCTGCAGCTCTCGGCCCCGAGTCTACGGAAACCCCCTTCCTCCTGGCCAGAGGCCCCGGGGTCGACTCCCGCGGCTCGCAGGGCCCCGCTGGGGGTCACCCGGAGGCCCCTCTTGCTGGGAGCTCAGAACCGCTACCCTGAGGCGCGGGCGTCCGGGAGGGCGTCCCAGGAAGCGGCCGCTCCCCAGGGACTCCGGGCCGGGGTTGCCAGGGGGTTTCGAAGGCCCCTGCCGGCTCCCGCCTTCTTTGGGCAGCGGGGCAAACTCGCTGCTGGGCAGCTCTCCCCTGGTGGCGCGGCCTCCCCGCGCGGGGCCCGGCCTCGAACCCGCGGCGCCCGGGCCCCCCGCGCCGCGTCCGGCCCGCCCCACCCCTGCAGCCTCTCGGCTGCTCCCCGAGTCCCGCGGCAGCCCCTGGGCGGCCCGGCCGCCGCCCGCCCAACGCGCCGCACCACAACAGTTCTCTCCCCCCCGCCCTCTTCGGGACAGCGGAAGTCCTGCCTCCGCACGCCTATTGGTCGCATTCGCTCTCAGGGCGGGGTCGTCGCCGCCGCTGGCGCGCTCCATTGGGCACCACTGCCGCCAGTCTCCGGCGCCAGGCTACTTCCTGGACTCTGCTGGGATGGGTTCAAAGTAGAGAAAGTGGAAGAGGGAAGAGTTCCTCGGGCGAGGGAGGGGAACTAGGGCGCAGATTGCCCAGCCCCAGGGAGGAATGATGACCAAGGGTCGGGAGGGACGGAGGGCAAGACTCCGAGAGCAGCGGAATGTATTCGGAAGCCGACAGAAGTACAGACGCGGGCGGGGGCGCAGAGGGACAGGCTTGGGGGAGGGGCGTGTGCGAGGAGACCTAAAGGGGATAGCGGTCCTGTCACGAGAGGAACCTACTGGGCACAACGACAGGGCCGGGGCCAGAGTCCCCCAGATCGACGTGGGGGTGAGGAGGCGAGGACGAAACAGGACAGAAGCCAGTCATGGCGGGAAAGACAGAGGGACAGCCCCGAACAGATACATGGAAAGAGATACCAAGGAGATGAGGGGGGCGATCTTGTCGGAATCTTGGGGGTGCCGGAGACGTGAGACTGTGGAGATTGGCTGGGACGGCACGGAAAGAAAGCGGGCGGGAGGAAGGAGGGCCCCGGGGGCTTGGGCGACCCCTCTACGGGAAAGAACCTGCAATCCGGGTAAGGTCCGGAGGGTGAGCCGGGTGAAGAGGGGCTGCTGAGGAGATGAAGAAATGGCTGGAAGTGGCCGACCAAGGGTCACTCCCGGGACCAGGTGAGGAAGGGCTTGCGTTGTCTAGGGCCCTCCCTGGAGCGATAGGCTGCAGTTGTGTTGTTCTGAGCTTCCGGGTGTGTTGGTGAGGCAGCCGCACCCTGCTAAGCCCTTGGGCCTGGGAGTTGGAGCCCAAGGCGTCATACCACCCTCCTGGAAGGGCCATCTCCCAACTTGGGGGACAAATGAGTCCCAAGGGCAGATGGGGTGACCGAGTCGGGCAGTCAAGGTTGGGTAGCATTTTTTTTTTGGAGGGGAAATAGGCAAGTGTTGCTGATTTTTAGTGTTTTGGCTTTCTGTTTCCTGCTAGAAGGCATAAAAGGAGCTGGATCTGTGTTCTGTTGAAAAAGGGAAAGCTCCCAGTTTCCACGGTTAGAAGCAGATGCCCTGTGATCTTTATTTTTCCTCATGACCTTAAATGTCTTTATACCATCTAGCCTAGTAATTTCACAGGTGAGACGTCCATCTTGGGAAATGGACTTCTCAGAGAAAATGTTAATCACAACGATGTTCAAATATGGGGTTATTTCTGATAAGGAAAATTTAAAAAAAAAAGAACCTACACATTCCAAAAGGGAAGTGGTTACATAAACTACCTAACGTCTTGAGAAAGAGATGTTGGGCAGTCAACATTTAAGGGAGTTAAATTTTTCAGAATCGATGTAAACATTTTCTATACTAATTCACTATTACCTCTTCAACAAATCATTGATGAGGGTTGTACAAATACTTTTTTAAAAGATGCAGGATATAAAATCGCATATAGGATATGATATGTTTCCATCTATGTTTAAAAGGAAAACGTGGGACCTGAGTTGGCGCAGTAGGTTAAATGGCTGCCTGCAATGCTAGCATCCCATATTAGAGCAATGCTTGGGGTCTGGGCTGCCCTACTTCCCATTCTGTTCCATGCTAATGTTCCTGGGAAAGCAGCAGAAGATGGCTCAAGTGTGTGGGCCCCTGCCACCAATCTGGGAGACTTGGACGGAGTTCCATGCTCCGGCCATCAGTCTGGCCCAGTCACAGCCATTGGGGGCTATTTGGGAAATGAACAAAGTGGATGGAAATCTTGGTCCCTTTCTCTGTCACCCTACCCTTCAAATAAATAAATAAATAAATAAATCTGTAAAAAAAAAAAACCACTATTTGTGCTTAAGAAATACACTGAAATACTAATTGTGATTATTTCTGGATAGCAGAAATACTGTTAATACTTTTCTTCTACCTTTGCATTTCCCTAATAAACACTTTTTTTTTGCTTTCACAGTAGAAAAAAATCAGTTCACTAGGAGTTCTCCCTTAGAGTTCATATATTCAAAAGTAAATTATTGAACACATGGTATATACCCAGTGTAAACCTGGCTACAGGGGGAGGATGAAATACAAGCTTTGCCCTAATATCCTTCAACTGGGGAATTCAGCTGTAGATTCTAAAAACAGCTGGATGTCCGAATAAGCAAGTGTGTGTTGTTGGTTCTGAAGTCAATTGGAATGGACAGAAGCTCTACGTTTCCCACATTTACTTACATCTTTTTCAAAACACTATTTGTATTCAGTGCTATGACACTGTGGCACACAGCCTCTTCAGCACCAGCTGCCCCTGGCTGAGGGCAGCAGGCCCTTTGGCTTGGGGGCTCTGTGTCAGCAATCGGGGTGGTGGCTCTTCCTCCTATCTGCTATTACTGTGACCTCTACAGTTCTCTTTTCTTACTAGGCAACCAGTTATAATGAATAAACCTTTATATTAATATTTCCCTGTTCAAAATACCATGTGGTTTTTCTTTCCTGATTAGACCCCAGATTGACATTCCCAGCTTTTACAGATATGTGTGTGTGTCCGGTGGCTCATGCTTTTGCCCATCCCTTTTTTTTTTAATTACCTCAAAAGTGGGGGTCAGGAGAGTTGCTTGGGAGGGGGATGGTTGTGAAATCGTACAAGACCCCCTAAAATTTACACTGAAATGTGGCCTCTTAAAGTTCCCTAGAAATGCTAACTGGGGTGCCACATCTACTACCGGAATTTAGGGTGCCATACGATTTCACCTCGGGCTTATTACTAAATCCCCAATATTGATAAGCCCAAGAGGGTTCTTGCCTAATATTTAGAGAAGAAATCTAAATACCGGCACAGATAAATGAGGCAGCATGGTACATTTTAAGCTTTTATTTAGTGAGAGGAGAAAGAGCTTTATTTAAGAGAGAGGTGGTAAAAAGGGGTTCATACCAAGCACCAGGAACCAGCCACGTGGAGGAGCATCTAGGCCTGTATCTGGGCCAGGAAGCCTAGAGCACATGGCCCAGAGGCCATGCACCCTGGAGGCGTGGGGGCTACAGCAAGCCCCCTCCTGACAAGAGGCCAGGGAAGAAGAGCGGACCAAGCCACACAATGTCCCGGCTTTTAACCCACTTCCAAAGGGGAGTGGTTAATTAACCTGATTGGCTGGTGGGCACCCAGGTGTGGCCATGTAGGGGAATGAGGCCACATAGGGGCGTGGCAAAGGGATCAGGTAGGGGCATGATGTCACACAGGGGCGTGGTGAAGGCATGGTCTTCCAGTATGCCTGCCTACTTCAGTTGAGAGACATGTCCTGTCTCTCAGGAAGGGGACGAGACATGTCTCTGAACCTTTTCTGGCTCAGTACTAAAAATGACCAGAATGGTCTGCAGTGCCTCGGCTCTGGCCAGTTTCACCCCTGCCTGGTGCTCTCATCTCCACTCTGCAGAGAACAGGGTTTTCCCAGCATGTCCTCCTGCTCTGTACCCCAGCATTAATTGGGAGAACAGATACCCTACACCTGTCACCCTGATCTTTGCCAGTAGAAAAAGGAATCCTAGCACCCAGCTTTCAGGATCTGGAACCCTGGCTGTTGCCCATCCTTTCTGTATAATTTTGTAGTCTTTAAGGAATGCCTGATTGGCATCTTTTCCCATGTTATGATGTAGCTTTCACAGTTGCCATTTTTAATGGCTCTATAACATTTCAAATACTGTAGTGATGCTGTAGTACAGTTCACTATTATCTAGGGCACAACCAGCCATTTCTGCCACACCTCTTTTTTAAAAAATATTATTTATTTTAAATTTATTTATCTGAAAGGCAGAGAGAGAAAGGGGTGTCTTGGGTTTACTCCCCAGATGGCTGCAACAGCTGGAGCTGCGCTGATCCGAATCTAGGAGCCAGGAGTTTCTTCTTCTGGGTCTCCCACATGGGTGCAGGGGCCCAAGCACTTGGGCCATCTTCTACTGCTTTCCCAGGCTATAGCAGAGAGCTGGATCAGAAGTGGAGCACCGTAGGTGGCGGCTTTACCTGCTACACCACAGCACCAACCCCGCCACACCTCTTGTTAGAATTTCCTCATCTACTAAACTCTGGAGATACGTGCTGGTTAATTCTGGCTCTCTTTCTCTGGAGAATTCTGTCTAACATAGACTGCAAAAACCTATAGGTTCTGACCCGGGGATCACTGCAGACTTGGCATTTTGCTGTTGGTCAAGTGTCTGAATTTCGACAGTGTTCCCGGCAGCTTGGGTTGCAGAAACTGCCACCATCTTCAATAGAAGGTGTATCACTCACGT